GATGGCGGAGGGGGGCCTGGTGAGGTGGCGGAGCGGGTTGCTCAGCCAGCCCGGCCCCCGGCCCCCCCACTCCTTGCTGAGGGAGGTCTCCAGCCCCCCGGGCGCCCCGGCGTCGCGGCAGCTGGTGGAGCAGTTCAGCAGCACCGTCCCACCATAGCCCACCTCCGAGGAGGTCCCTTCCAGCGCCACCTCGAAGGGGTTGGTGGGTGGTCCTGGAATGGGCTGGGATGAGCTGGGAGGCAGGGGGTGAGCTGGGGAGGTGGATTGGGGGGGGGCGGTGGGATGAGCTGGGACACAGGGCATGTCCCCAGTTGGGTTGGGGGGGAGGTGGGATGAGCTGGGACGCACGGGCTGTCCCCAGTTGGGTTGGGGGGGAGGTGGGATGAGCTGGGACACAGGGCATGTCCCCAGTTGGGTTGGGGGGGAGGTGGGATGAGCTGGGATGCACGGGCTGAACTGGGACACACAGAATGTCCCCAGCCAGGTCATGGTGCAGGGGGGTGAGCTGGGGACACACGGGATGTCCCCAACTGGGTTGGGGTGGGAGGGGACCAGCTGGGCCAGCTGGGATGTCCCAGGGGAGGTGGGTCGGGATGTAGGTGGGATGTGCTGGGACAGATGGGATGAGCTGGGACACAGGGGATGTCCCGGGGAGGTGGGCTGGAGTGGGGGTGGGATGAGCTGGGACACACGGGACATCCCCAGCCGGGTTGGGGTGCAGGGGGACGAGCCAGGACGCAGGGAGGGCACTCACCGCACAGAGCCGGGAGCAGCCCGGCGAGGGACCAGGCTGGGAAGCCGCACCGGGGCATTGCCACGCCGGGGAGCGGGGAGCCGCAAGGCTGGGAGCAGAAGCCAGAGCCCGTCACCCCGGCACAGGGCGCTGGGCGGGGGCACCCGGCTCAGAGGCGCATCGTCCCCCATCTCGCTGCGACGGCCGCTCTCCATCCTTCCCGTCCGCCCCGGCTCCGCCCCGGCCCCACTGGCCCCGGCTACACCGCTGGTGCCGGTGGGCAAATGGCGGCAACGAGGAAGGAAGTGGGGTTTGGGTACTGCGGCGCATGCTCGGCGCAACCACAGCCACCGAGGGCTCAGGGTATCGGAACCCCCCTGGGCTTCGGTTATCCCCGTTCCCAACCAGAACCCCAGTGCGTTACGGCACTGCTGCCGACAGCCTTTATTGGAGCAACATGTCGCGACAGCATCTTCCAGCCTCACCGGCAGCTGCATCTCCCTCCGCTCCAGCTCCTCACGCTCCCGCCGGCATCAGTGCCAACACCACCTCAGCACCGAAATCCCGGGATTCAGCCTGGATGCTCCCCCTGCGGCACCAAGACTCCCGGCCTCGGTGTCACCGCGGGGAACAGGAGCAGCCTGCGGCCACCCCAAAACTGGCTTCGGGTCTCCCAAGGGATAAAGTTCGGAGAGAAAAGGAGCGTCTCCGTCACGGGGGGGACGCCGGCGCCGCGCCCCCCCAGCATCCCAACCGCAGCAGGTCCTCGTCTCGGAGCTGTCACCTCCCCGTGGCAACAGCAGCCACCAGTGCTGTCTCACCATAGCGTCCACCACCCCGCCCCCGCTCCCCC